TTGTAAAAATGATTTCCTTGACAATCCCTTTCCTCCCCTCCTTTCTTCTCTCCCCCTGGAGCCCCATGATTCTCTGACTGCTCTTTCTGACCTGTTTTCTCTTAGCTCCCTTTTTATTGTTTTGCTCTACTTTATGGGACATGTCCTCAACTTTCATTTCTGAGACCAATTTTTTCATCCCTCGCATTTTTTTTTTTAAAACCTTTTCACTTTTATATCTTGGGTTGATGATTTTCTTATCCATCTGAGGGGAGATTTGTTTTTGTTTTACATTTTCTTCTGTGTTTGTAAGGCTGTTTTTCCCAAGTTGCTTTCAGGGGAGTTACTTGTTTCCTTTTCTATGATCCACGTTTAGGATTTTTTTTTTGTGATTATGAGTTGATTAGAAGCTCTGACGGTTCCAGAGGAACTTGTCAACCTTAGCATAATCTAGATGGCATCTTTGTAGGATAATCTTCCAAATCCTTATCTGTGCTTTTATTTTTTCCTTCTCTCTCTTGAGATGTTCAGAATGTCCAGAGAAGAGTGCTTTGGTCTCTGCCAAGCGAGACAAAGTTCACAGGCCAGTGTTCCAGAGGGTGAGTACAGGAAGAGGGCTGGAAGTGGGGTAGGCCTGAGTCTTCCTCCCTCCTCCCAGATACTAAGCCAAACTTTCATGGATCATGGGATCCTGAATCTCTCAAAAGTTTTTTTTTTTATGTTGCTTTTGAAAGCCATCAGACATACCTAAGTGTTCCATTTATTAGGTAGTTATTTCCAAAGAATTTAATAAGTATTTATGTCTGAACAAGTTAGGTACTGTTTGAAAAAATAAACAGGCATCTAAAGAAACAAATTATTATTTTGTTCTTAAATAACCACAATTAAGAAATCATTTTTTAAAAAAACCACGAAATAACAAAATAGATAAGCACATTTGTTGGTAGTGTACCTCTTCTGAAGACACAGCTGGCCTCATTTCATAGTTTACATAGATTTTCATGTGTTACCTGCATATCACACACTCATCAAAAACTCAGTTTCATAAAGACAGGTGTCATAGAAAAGAATGTATAGTGATCCAAAGTTAAAATTTTGTACTATTTCAGGCCAGTCATTGTGTCCTGTCAGATGTCAGATTTGACATGTTTGCATCAAACATTTCAAATATATCTAAGTATGGAGAATCACAGGTTTTAGATGGCCGATGTTTGTTCTGTATGCTGTTGTCCAACCTACCATCCTCATTTAGAACTTGCATTAAGTTTTAAACTGTGCACAATCTGCTGAGATCTCAGAAAACACTCCACCACTGCCTTCCTACAACTCAGTGCCTTAGTGCGTTTAATTAAGTATAATTTATGTCACAGTCTGAGTCATAGAATCAAAACACAAACTCCATTATATAAGATAGAGGATGAGTCGGAGATTCATGCTGAAAGTAGGAGGTACCATCCTTTGATAATTCTCCAACCAGTAAGACACTTCTTTTGTGGTTTTAATTTTGCATGCCATCAGACAATGCTACAAAAGTAATTCAATATGGTTTGTGGCTCTTTCCAGACGGCTGAGTAAGAGCCTGAGTATTAACATCTGTCAAATGATTCTCCTTTCCCCTCACCCCCAGACCAGTCTTTGAAGGATTCAATCAGTGTGAAGTCACAATGTCAAAGAAGAAGGCCAGGGCAGGTAATATGACAACGGATGTTGGTCTTAAGTAAGCTGACTAGCTATTAATTCACAAAACAGTCTGAAAGGATTCGTGATGCAAGCTGACTTCTGTCTAGACAGAGAGGGGAGTGTAAAACACATTAGACGATACAACACAGTAGTGACAAGAAAAACCTGTTTCACTTGTACAAATGCACGGGGAGAGAATCTGCTATTTCCTTCTTTATCTAGATATCTAATCCCTAATGGGGCAACATCTAGGTTTGAGGGAATTTCAGTTTTATTTTTAGAGCTTTAAAATCATCTTGCCCATGAATAAGGAAAGAGAGTGAAGAGAAGAAGAAAAAAGGAGATAAAAAGAATGAGGGAGTGACATGGAGTAAGAGAAGAAAAGAGGGAGGGAAGGAAGAAGGTGGGGGAGAGAAAAGAGAGAGCAGGAAAGAGAGGCTATGTCAGAGGAGGAAGAGAGGGTAATAAAATCTGATGTTTAAATAGTTTCCTGAATTTCAAAGGCTATTTATGTTTTAGCATTTGGAAAACATCACAGACCCAGTCCTATAAAATTTATCTCTGGCCTCAGATGTATGGTAGTCATGTCTGTTTTTCTCCTTTCCACTCAACAGTGGCTAAAAAAAGCAGCTATCAGACCAGTTCCTACATCCACACTATATGGTGGAATACATCAGTGGTCCATTAGACAAAATAATCAAGCAGGTCATTTAAGGAAAGTAAACAGTCTGTTTGTGTGTGTGTGTGTGTGTGGGTGTGTGTGTGTGTGTGTGTGTGTGTGTGTTTTCCTCTTGACATAGAAACTTCAAGGTCAATGTTAGGAAAACATTTGGCAATTAGTAAGAGAATCATTCTTAGCTTTGTTAGATGTGCCAAAACTTTGTTTAACCACAAATATGCTTTAATTTTTCCTTGTGCTAAAGTTCTTACTCCTATCAGTTCACATAAGCAGTCATAGGAGAAGTCATTCTTGTGTTTAATTTATTTGTTGTTGTTTAAAAAAAATGTGACCATGAATTCTGTTTAATGCTCCATGCTAACAGGAGACTTTCTGAAGCAGGGCATATTGATGCTTTGCTGTGAAAGAGAAGGGGGCCATTCTAGGACTGTCACGGTGAAGACAATTGTGGAGAAATCACCATAGGTCAGGCAAAATGTGTTGTGTTCGGTTTGTTTTGTTTTTAATAGCTCCCAACTATCTTCTTTTTTTTTCTTATATTGACAAATTTGCTTGAAATATTTCTCTGCCAAGAAACACTCACTTTTAGCAAATATTATTATAGTGGTTGGGATGGAGGAGTCTGTTTTCTTAAATGCTTTCAGATATAACTAAAGAAAAAAATAAAAATAAAAAAAAATACAGCCAAGTGTCATGCATTGTGAGGATGTGGAGTTTAAAAGAAAGATCCTTCATATCTTGTACTTTTCTTCATGATTTTGCCATGTTAAAGGAAAAGGCATTTCAGTAAGTTCTAGAGGCCTGGTGATTTCAGGAGGCTGCTTAGGACTGATTTCATTAAATAATTTATGATCAATATTTTAGAAACAAAAGAGAAAACCATAACTGAAGCAGAAGGGGGTGTTTATAAGATTAGGGGTGAGGGATGTGGGTAGAAGGTAGTAGACATTTCCAAATCCAAACCGATTCCTCCTTAGTGTACTCTCAGGGTTTTGATGTTCAAGAATGCACATATGCCAAACTAAACTGTGCAGTTTATATACAATGTTTTGCATTTTCAGATGTTGGTTAGCTGCGGATTTTCCAATGTAGATTATTGGAGACATTAAAAAAAATAATCATCACCTATTAGATGGTGAGAGTGAACAACAATGTGAAGAAGACAGAATTACACAAATTTGTTCAGAATACAAAAAGCAGCCTTAATCCATCCTAGAAGCAATAGTTCTAGAATTTGGGACCCAAGGTTTCGTTCCTATATGTGCATAAAGCATTAAAAGACATAATTATCTGTTATAGATGATAAACTACTTCTTATAAATAAAAGCAATACCTAGTTCCTACTTTCCTGTCTACCTGTCTGTCATCTATCTATCTACTGCTATTTGAAACAGTAAATACAAAAGATGTGCCCCAACTCTCTGTAGGATTTCCATGTTAGCTCATGCAGTAAGTTTGGTCTCAGAAGTTCATGCATACGGGAACTAGCATTATTCAATTTTATACAAAGACGTATCGCAGAAAAAAATAGAAAGTGGTATATTTCCAGTCTGGGAAATGACTACAGCATTTGATGTGGCAACTGACACACGGAGTGGGGTGACATGCTCTAGTTGTAACTCAGAAGGCAGCAGATCAATTCCAGTTGTTCTCAAAAAATGTGGAGAAGCATCCTTTAAACCTGGTCCCTAATAGGAACATGCTCTGCTTTTAAAGACCCCATACTCAGATGTGAGAGATCAGGGGCTGACCACAGCAACCTGACCTGCAGTAGCCCACAGAAAACCTCAAGTTCCCAAAGAAGGGTCAGGGCAAGGTCATGGTGCCCAAGGCACACATGGGGAATTCTGTTCCACATAGGAGCACAAGCACCCAGGGCAGAAATGGAAACAACTTGCTTTTCTGCCCTTTGTTAAAAAAAAAAAAAAAAAAATGAGTGAAACTGTGCTTTGCTGATGGGGAAAAATACAAAAGAATAGAGTCTAGAGGAGGATGCACTAGGAAATACCTGGACAAACATCTTTTAGTCCCTGAGGGGTCATAAAAATGCAAGAGGCGGGAGGCTGGGGAGCAGCTGGCCCCAGGGCTTCTGGACCACATAGCACTCTGATGAGATCCAGTGAGGTCATTGAGAGAGAGCCTAGGGCAAGATGACTTTCTTGATGCTTGTAGAACAGTAAAAGTTTATGTATGGCTCAGGGTACATAAGAGAGCTGCCTGGAGGTCCACTGGGCGGCTCCTATTCAAGACGCACTTCTAAGGCTGCAGTCTAGCTGATGCCTGGCTGCAGTCTAGCTGATCCCTGGCTGCAGTCTAGCTGATCCCCGGTTTTGGGCAGTAGAAGTATGTGGGAGATTGCTCTTTCCTAATGGAATTTTAGGAGGTCTTTTAAAATCATTAGCTCAGTTTTCTTTCTGAGTATAAAAGCCCTAAGTCACTGAGCTTGACCTTCTTGTCTGAATGGCACCTAATGTTTTACTAATAAAGAAGTTGATGTAAAAGGCAGCATACAGAACCCCGATAAAGAAGATATTGTCTTTAAGGGGGTCTCACATTTCCAGGGAACTGCAAAAACATTGTTCTGCTTATGGCTTTAAAACAGAAACAAAGATCTATTGAAACCCACAAGATATATTAACCCTCCAAGAAAGCAAATGCTTACCAGGTTCAGCTGTCGATCTAGGTTCTGTTTTCCACATGAGAAAAAAAAAAAAAAAAGAAAAGAATATTACAATAGGGTTCCTTAATAAAAAACCTACCTTTCTTTTCCTGTTATCTTGTCTACGGCATATCTGCAGAAATGTAATAGACAAGCTCCATAATACAAAAAGGAGGGTTCAAGGGATAGCAGGTTACTGTATATTTCTACAAAAATAGAATACTCAAATTCCAGTAACATCAGGATGTTCTAAAAAATATAGATGGGCTATGTACATATAAACCTACATATTTGCCCAATTTTGAATTCAGATATATGTGGGCATTTTTCCTAAAGTAAGAATACATATCTTTCATCAGCTTCAATGGGGCCACAGCCTCAACCTAGTGGACCACACATATTGTAGATTATTTGGTCTCATCCCTCTTTAAAAATGGAAATCAATAGAATGACTCAGTCCTTGTTGGTTTTCCCTAAACCAGAGAGAATAAAATGGTCAGACTTGGAAGAATGAGTCTCTCTCTCCTTACTTTTCTGTAGAATTCTGAAATCTGGAGAGTCTTGGATTTCACTTCCCTGCCGGAACCACTGGACCTGGAGAGGGGGCGCTCCCCGGACCCTGCACTCCAGGACCACCACCTGGCCCTCTGAGGCTGCTGTGTTTTGCAGTTCCTGAAATTCAAGGAAAATACTGTCCTTAGACTTTAATGTGTTCTTTTTTAAAATGTTTTTTTTTTTTTAGTTGTTGATAGACCTTTATTTCTTATTTATTTGTATGTAGTGCTGAGAATCAAACCCAGAGCCTCACACATGCTAGGCAAGGGCTTTGCCACTGAGCCACAACCCTACCTCTTAATGTGTTCTTAAGCAATTTTAAAACAGAGAATAAAAACTCCACAATTCAGATAAAATGCAGAACAAACCTGCAGAACTTGCATCATCAAATAATTACCATTAACCCAGGGACGCCTTTAAGTCCGTGATAATTAGCTTTCTGTAACCTCTATGACAAAAAATTAGTACGGTTTACCATAAGCCCTGTAGCATTTTTTGACCTGTTTACAAACTTCGTAGACCCTTTTGTATTTGTGGAATTGGATGGTAATTTTACATTTGTGATAATTTTCTTTCTATTTAGTTTGCAGTGCTACGGATCAAACAAACCCAGGGCCTCATGCATGCTAGGCAAGCACTCTCTACCACTGAGCCACATCCCCAGCCCTATGTTTATGGTAATTTGATGTTATTTTTCTTTATCTACATTTGAGAGTAAACTGGTAAACTTCTTAAAACAATCACACTCCAAATGAATATATATAGCGCCTTAAGAAAACCAGATGAGAAAAAAGACACATTTGTTTTCCTATGCCCTGATCTCTCCTGTATACCTCATCTTCTGCAGGACTAGGTTCTTAAGTCAGGTTTACTAAGCCAAGTATTGTAGTATTTTCTCATTTTGAGATTCTGAGTAAATTCATAAAACATGCTGCTCTTCTTCCTTATTGACCTTCATTTCCTCCTCTGGGCCAGAGCCCTTATTGCTCCTCACCCCTCTGCAACTTTACACCAATCAATTTTTACAGTCCAACAGATTAGAAATTAATTTGACTTTATAGATACAAAGAGGTAAATTTCTGTACTTGTTATTAAACATCAAGATGTTACTAGTTCCCTTCCACGTGTTCTTTCTCCATCTTCTTCCTCTAGGTTTAACAACAATGGGACCTATTTAAACTTCCTGATGATTTAAACTTTTGACTAGAGAACTGGATCTAATACAGAGCATATAGAACTCCTAATTAAAACATGGTGAAATAACTTATCTCTGTATAAACAAAAGCAAACAAATTCACATTGGGAAGTATGTGGACATTTTGTGTTTTGTTTTTAAAACTGCTTAGGAACTGGGTGTGGTGGTGCACACCTGTAATCCCAGTGACTCAGGAAGCTGAGGCAGGTGGATTGCAAGTTTGAGGACAGCCCTAGCAATTTAGCAAGGCCCTAAGCAATTTATCGAGACCTTGTCTTGAAAAAATAATAATAAAAAAATGCTGGGGCTATTGCTTAGCAGTAATCCACCCCGGTTTTTAATCCTCAGTACCAAATAAATGAATAAATAAAAACTGTCCAAGGGAACAAAATCATTGCAAACCACATAGCAAATGGGAAAACAAATACTATGGCAATTGGCCTACATGAGTGTGCAAAAATACTATGAGTTCTAAAAGTCCATGATGTTGACTGATGAATTATAAAAGTAATGGGAAATTTGATTTGATGTTTGATAAGAATTTTGGTAGTTAACAGGCATGTCTTTTTTTTTAGTGAAAATTTTAAGATTATCAACTATTGATTGTATTCCTTCTCCATTCTTATTTTTAAATGTAGAAAATTTCTGGTTTTAGATTAATGTTTTACTTTGTAATTGGGTCCACTGAAGAGCTAATTTAGTGGTTCACAGCATGGTGTCTCTCATGGGGTCCAGTTCCTACGGGATGACCTATTAAATGTTTCCAGTCTTGTCCAAGAAACCATTCATGGAGATTACAAATGGCATCCAAATACTTTTCATGCTTGAGCTTTCAGGCATGACTATTTAAACCTCAAGAACCAAAGGAGACTGATTTATTCCTAAGTTTATATATGTTTTTTTTTAAGTGTTGGAAGCTCAGAGATTTAAGAAATGGGCAGATGCCAAGGAACCAAAGCAGTCAAAACTCCATAGTTATTCTAGGATAACAAACTGGCTCCACCTAGTGTAAACTTTTTTTTTTTTTTTTAATCTTGGCAAAAGCCATAGCTAAACACAGTAAACCATTAGGAGAACTTTAAGGACCATAAGGAGAAGCCCTCAAAAGACCGAGATTCAACCATCAGTGGTTGCATGGATAATCTAGATCATCCATTGAGTGCAGGATCTGGGAACCTGTTGTCATACATCAGGTTCACCTGACATTGTGACTCTTTGGAGGGGTCTAAGAGAAGAAAAGCCCCGTAGGAGTAGCTACCTCCTGGCTGCATGTGCACGCCTGTGCTAGTCACAGCTCAAAGTCCATACCAGCTCTGTTGCCAGAGCCAAGCCCCAATTCCACCAGGCAGGCAGGCAGGCAGGAGCACCAGCTCTGCCCCTGCCAAGCTGTGACACCTGTCAATCTTTTCCAGAGGAGGGTGAAGATATAGATGGAGGCTCCTCTTAGACTAGCAATGTTCACCTACCATCCACTGTCACCACTGTGTCAAGAGAATGGTCAAAGAAGGTGCGAAGGGTGGCTAAGCCAAGGTTAGTTGGAGTCATGGAGGGGATCAGCAAAATGATTTTCTAAATCTGTCCCTCTAAAACCAGAGCCAAGGCCCCCAAAGGATGCTGCAAAATAGAGAGAAGTTTCCCAAAGGATGAAAGAGAAAAGCAGCGGCAAATGTGAGTGAAGCATCCCTGCAGAAAACAGGTGTACCATGGTCCAGGCCCAGAACATGGGAGGCTAGGGCTACCCATTGAAGTACGTGCTATGCCTCTAGTGACTGCCATAGTTTGAGACTTTTTTTTTTTTTTTTTTTAAGCCAAAAGGTGTGTTGGGCCCTGGTGTCCTGAAACCAGTAGTGCCTTGGTTACCAATGTAGGATGCTGACACACTTGCTGGGGATGATTCCAAAATGACATACTACATACTTAATGCAGAATCTACTCCTCTTCTGTAAATGCTTCCTGTTCTAAGCATCAAAGTAATTTTAGTAGGGTTTTGCATGCCTTTTGTTTTTGAGAGCCTGTCTCAGAGGGGAGGTTCAAAGCTGTTGTCAACTGTTATCCTCAGTTGCCTATGTCTCACTGGAACCACTATAGTTGCTTATGAACAGACCTTTAATAAAGCCTGACTTCTATCTGGCTTAGAAACAAATCGTTCCCTTCATGAAGACAAATACAGGTGCTGTCTGTTACTGCCTTACGAAAATCTTATAGATTTGCTTTCATGTTTGTCCTTAGGTCACTTGGAAGTTATTTCCTCAGAAAGTGTGATGTAGGAAACCAATCTAACATTTTTTTTTTTTTTACTCGTGAAGAATTCATTCTTCCTTCAGCAATTAGCAAGTTTCTGTAGGTACTGAAGTACCTTTTGGGTTTCCACTCTGATTACTCATCAATTTTTCATCCCTGTATCAGGGCCATACTATAGGTTGAGTATCCTTTATCCAAACTACTTAAGATCATGAGTGTTTCAGATTTTAGATTTTTTTCTGAGTAAGGAAAATTTGCATATATATCATGATATCATGGGGATGGGAACAAGCCAAACAACTTTTATTTATTTTTCAAAAATACCTTATATGCATAACCTGAAGGTAAATTCAATATAATAGTTTTACAAAATCCAAAAAGTTGTGGATTTTGGAGCATTTTGGATAGGGGTGCTCACCTATATACCTATATCATAATTATCCTATCTTTAGAGAATCTTGACATTTCTTCAGACAAATCCCATCCCTTCTGTAACACCACACTATTTTTCTTTTCCAGGAGTTGCCTAACTATTCCTAGACATTTTTTTCTTCCTTACAACTTTTAGAATGAGATTGATAAATTCTGTATCAAACAAATAAACAGAAACAAAGAACCTGTTGAAATTTTAGCAAGATTTGCATTAAATATAGATTAGCCAGGGAGTAATGACTTCTTCATAGACTTTCAGTTCCTAAGAAACACGTTATCTCTTCATTTATTTGGTCTTTTAAAACATCTTTCAATAAAATTTTTAAATTTTTCTCGAGGAGGAGGAAGAGGAGGAGGAAGAGGAGGAGGAAGAGGAGGAG